CCTGCCTTCACCCTGAGTCAGCTGGGATAGACTCCAGCCCCCCATGACCCTAGTGAGGATTAAGCGGTGTATAGATGATGGATGGATGGATCAGTTAACTGTTTGGGCTGTAAAATGCCATAAAAGCAGCTCATTACAAGTTCTCAGGGTCCAGGGTGGTGTCTTCAAATAGTTTTTTTTGTGTCTGCTCAGTTTAAAGACAAACAATCTGAATAACTCTTAGTTTAGGATGTTACTTGCTCATCAAAAGTCCATCAATACAACTGGTCATCTGGTTATGCATTCGTCTGAACAAACTGCCACTGGTTCAGATCATTACCGGTGTTACCTTCATAGAGAGAAAAGTGTGACATCAACAGCCTTTAAAGATTAAGCCCTTATTTTTGGCAGTGGAAGGAACACGCTATCTGTTGGCATTTTCACAACTTTGAAGTAGACTGCTGCTACGTCCAACTTATTTAACATTTACTCAGAGTCGGCCTCATACTAATTAACGCCGTGTCTTAAAAGTCATTGGTGTGGCAGCATTTTGTTAATGCGGATACCAAAAAGTCAAGTTTAAACCTCGCAGGCAGCCATTTGCATATCTCAATAACCAGACATGACATCTGGGCATCACCTCGATCATCTGCGTTACATTCCTCAGTGAGCTGGGGTCAGCAGTTAATATGAATAAGAGCAGGTACACACTGGTTTGCTCCAGTCTGTTGGTATCATTTTAGTATAAAAGAATCAGCCTAAAATTATTTAAAGCGGTGCAAATATTAGCTTTTTTTATGTTATAGTCTTTTAGAAAACATAAGGCTAGCAAGTACAGTGAACTCATGATGCCAGTTTAGTTAACATAGAGGTAAAATGAATGCTGACCGATTGATTGATTGATTAATTAAAATGTAGTTACGATTTCAGAGGATTTACTTTTGACAATAGATTTAAGCATCAAAGTGCTTCTTTTGCCAATTACCAGGTCAAAAATCAGTTACTGAAATTTATTATGACAGAAAAGTGAATCAAAAAACACTTGTACCATCAATTATGACAATTATTATCATTCTATTTTTCTCAGTCAACTCTTTAATTATTAAACATTTATACAAATGGTCATGCTAAGATTTCTGTTTCTCATGAGGCAAGAGAATAGGAATTTCTATCGCACAAGGCTACATTTGCACCTCTCAGTTTTTTACACAATGGTTCATTTGTAAATGTCTTAGATGCATAATTCATCCAGTTTATATCACCACCCATCACAAAACCACAGTACCATCACATGCAAGCATCACAACTCAAGCCACAATTCTGTTCTTCTTGTAGGGGTGGATAAAGGAAAATAAAACACACACAACCTCCACAGCTACCCCTAACTGTCAGCTAAAGTTAGCTACCTCTAGTGGAGGTCTGCAGCTCTGCATCGCGGTTTTTCAAGTGTAAATGTGTAAATGTGAACATAAATAGAAGTAAAAGACAGATTCTCCCAATTAAATAGAATGCGTGCTTTAAGTAAAACAGTTCCAAATTCCGTAATGGGCTTGTTTACTGCCCCATAAACGTACATAAAACCCTGCGGCCTACAGTTTAATCACACCCTACTTTCTGAAAGCACATATTCTTGGAGAAAGTCGACTAGGTGGAATATAAACAAAGAGGTTCTCTGTTGTGTACACCAGTGAGCCTATAGCTGGGTACTGTGAGAACTAATTCTTTTTATCGTATTATCATATTAGTAGAGAGCAGAGCTCATCAGACAGGTTCATTCTGTACAATTACCATTCGAGGCACTCACACAGGCATCAAGTGCTGACCAAATTAAAGTGCAGGTCGTAGAGCCTCCACTGACTGGAAGAACATCCTCTTTCACTACTGGGACAGCGGGATGCCCAAATCCCTCTTATCATGTCAAGTTGGAAACACCTGGGGTAAAGCTCGAGCCATAGAGCCCAGTTAATACGGAGATAAATAGAGATCAGAGCATCACGGGCAAAGCGTGCAAATTTATTTAAGCCAAATATAACACGTGGACCCAGTGCAAAGAAAGGGAGGCATGGAAGTCTGTCATTTAGGTTCTTGGATTCTTCCTTTAAAATAAACATGCATCAACTTTAAGACGCTTAAACCTTTACGGTACAAGGGTTGAATTTTACAGGATCCTAATGATCCTCTGATATTTTTTTTATTTCTTTCACCACAAATTTGAAGCCAGAGAATCCACTGGATTGTGGTAAGCATGATATAGGTCGTTCATCCATTATCTATACACCTGAATCCTCACTAGGGTCATGGGGGCTGGAGTCTATCCCAGCTGACTCAGGGTGAAGGCAGGTTCACCTGGACAGGTAACCAGTCTATCACAGGGCTACACTTAGAGACAGACAACCAAGCACACTCACATTCACACCTACGGACAATTTAGAATCACCAATTAACCTCAACATGTTTCTGGACTGTGGGAAGAAGCCGGAGAACCCGGAGAGAACCCACGCTGCACGGGGAGAACATGGAGACTCCACGCAGAAAGATCCCGGGTGTCCTCACCAGGATGCTAATCAGCGACCTTCTAGCTGTGAGGCAACGATGCTAACCACCGTTCCACCTTGCTCAATCATGCTAAATATAATAGGAAAATTGACCATGAGCCTCTGAATTCCACCAGCCAGCAATATGAAAAACATTTGTCTTTATAAAAACAAAAAAAAGAAGAAAGATCTTCCATTTAATAAAAGCCCACCATTGATCAGCCATTAACTATACTAGGGGGAAGACAGGAAGAATCATCAGATGTTTGACTTTCTTTCAAAAAGAATTAACCAAATGCAAGCCTAACATCATGATATTCCATCAAAACCACTTGATTCTACATGTCTAATTCAAAAATTCATCAAAAAACAGAGTGTCTACCATAACCAGCTTCTATTAAAACTATGAAGCCGTTATTGACTCAGCTGTAACAGTCACATGACAGAAAAAGTGAGGCAGGTTTCTGCTGAGCGTCAGGCTGTGTTTACAGGGAGCAGACAGGAAACATGGAGGGAAACAATTAAAAAATGATTGGTAATATCTAGGGACACACACAGAATGTTGCACATATTGATTTTTTTGTTCAATTTTTGAAAAAGTAAATAAATTCAACTGTGTATTTTTAATTATTATTTAGTACAATATAAGAAATTTTTGAGCTCTCGCTACTTCTAGCCATGATACTGCCGTTTCCATAGAGGTGCAGGACTTTAGATTGCAGTGAAAAAATGAGACCACTTGAGTAAAAACATGACAGAGGCTTAAAATTACTTAAACATGAAGTCAAAGCCAGGCAAGGACCTCTTTATGGACACCAAGAACACTGCCTAAGATGAAAACGAGTGGCATAAAGTCGACAAAACAAGGACCACTCAGTCTTTGTTTGTCTCTGAAACACTCCTGTTTTGGATGAAATGGAGCTAAGGTCAAAAAATGAGATTCTTACTGTTCAAGCACATTTCTTCAGAAACTATGACAACATCTTTACAGACTGTGAACAACAGAATTAACCAACCAGCAAGCCTGAAAATAACAAGAGTATCTTGTTGAGACCAGTTTCATGTTTTTTTAAACATGCACACAATGGCCGAATGCCGGACTCAAAGATTACCAATGCTAAGGTCCTTAGGATTTCCAATTACATGGGTAAACATACAATAAGCCCACAGCCTTTATTAGGCAGCAGGCAGCTGGATTACTGCCTGAAGGGTCCATTGTCACACTGAACATATTGACTTCCTTGTCTAGGGGAAGAAGCACACAGCTGTCCAGCAAGCCCTTTTCATGCGTCCGCTAGGGGTTGAGTTTCCTCACATGAATGCACAAGTTCATACATGCACACACACACACACGCATACCAAGGAGAACACACAAACATAGTAGTGGACAACCCTACACCGGCACTGATGTCAGACCCTCAGCGTGCAACTTAAACTTAGCTCTGTAACCAGTGTCTTTTTTGGTCCTGTTCAGGCCGCTGATGCTCGTATCTGTAACAGTGAAGTCAGAGCCAACAGACAGGATGTGGGGCTCAGCCACAACCCGGGCCGAACCCAGGTACCTCACCTGTCTCATACTGTGCTGCTTCTAAATGATAAATGACTGTTCTCTGCGTAGCTGCACCAGCTTTCACTGTAAAATTAGCAGCATTTCCTGACATGGAAATGTCACACCAGCAAGCGGCTCTATTTTGGGCACATTTGATATGCAAATGAGCCTCTTTTTTTATTTCTGTAAATGTACCGGCGGGATGTTATCAGCCGGTGACTAGCTGGGACACTAACTGACTACCGTGTGAACCTGTTGAACCAGAGGGGAGACGCTAAAGCCGCCGGAAATCCGCGTGAAGTTACTGTAAATCGATTACAAACTGCTGTCAGACCCGCTCGGCCAGCACCGGAGGGTTCTGTCGGTCTGTACGTTCCTGTTAATCAACGTGACAAACTTGTCCTGAGCCCGGCCAACTCACCGAGCATCACTCATCTGGACCGATAACAGTGAACAGGCTCGTCTCGTGTCCGGCTAATTTATTAGCAACCGCTACCTGGGAAAAAAAACAAAACAAATAAAAGACGAGCTAGGCGACTGTAAACTGGACACGGAAACGCGTTTCTGTTAAATTCATACTCGACTGAACGCCCTCGCTGACATTAACCAGACACTTCACAACAACTTGCACCGAACGCCACGTGTCAGGAGCAGAAAGCCGGCTAACAATAGCGGTTTGCCGGATGGTGCCTCGCTGGCTCTGACTCCCGAGCATCCCTTGTACTTGAACGGCTGCTCGGCAAACAAGGGGGCAAACACGGACAAAGAAGCAGTACAGTTATAACGGAGGGCTGACGGTCAGCAGTGTCGTCTGGGGGAGCTTACTGTTCTCAGGAGGGGCCGCATTTGCTCCGAAGGCTCGTCCATTTCACCTGGCCGGTGTTCTTGTGCCTGCCCGGTGGTAGCGCTTTTTTTTTGTGCTGGTTGATGTAGCGGAGGGAGAGCCGGGGCCGGTGACAGTTGTATTAACAGTGAGGGCGGCTCTGCTTTTCCTAACGACCCCGTTAGGACACGCCCCTAAGATGATTGACAGTGACGGCTGACCAATCAGATTCGATAACGTAAGGAAAAGGGCGGGGACTATTTCCATGACGCCTGAAACGTCCCAAGCGGGCTTTTTGTGGTGGGTTGATTTTTTTATTTTATTTTATTTTTTTAATTCTTTTTTTTTCAAATCAAATCAAGTTTATAGTCTTTTTGCTGCACATACACAACAGTAGAGGCAATATGAGAGAGCGTTTCTTCAGGATCCAATAACTAAAAACAATTTAAATAATGAAGTGTTTGCCAGAATTTAATAATACCATAATAATAACCCAGAATTTAATTAAAGGAAGCTTGAAAATTAAAACAGAGCATGACAAATTAATTTCTGCTATTTTATTATTCAGGGTAAACACTCCCTAATTGATTGTTCGAAAGGAAAAAAAAAAAAAAGTTAAGCAGGGAACGTTCCCACAACCTTGCCCACAAGTTCTAATGTTTTAAACTATAGTGTGTTTTTTTTTTTAAAGTTTCAAAGATATTTAGGATTTAAAGTAATGCTACTATAAGGTTATAAGTGAGCTATTCTGAGGATGTTTGTCAGATTATGTTACATGATAAAACGTTCAACAAATGTTTTCAAGATGTTTTCGAGACCTCGGAGGACAGAATGTCTTTTTTTTTGGTATTATCATTTTTTACAAAACTTTCGTGTACTGTGACATACTAATAAAGCTTTTGCCTCTAATATTCTGAGGGGGTTTGGGGGGATGTTGCTTCTATAAAACATTACCACAGTGTTCCACGATAACAAACTGAGAACATTCTAAGTGCATTATTCAGCAAAAAGAACTTTGCCTTTAAGAAGCACTTTCTGGAAATGAAAATATTTCCCACACAAACCAGAACTTTGCAGAACATTCTTAGGACGTTTTTAAAACATTCTAGCTAGAATCTGCTTAGTCATTTTGAAATTTTTGCATTTCTCATTTACCATTTTTATATCGAGCATCATCCCAAGTGTGAAGTGAACATGCGAAAACTGTTCAGATATATAAGATTCTGTTTTAAATTCTTGTCTGAATCTGTAAGTTTCACATGATGACAAGAAAGGGATCACAGAGAGACTCAGGAAGAGCTTCTTACCTCAAGCTGTCAGGACTGTGACCTCTGCCCTTCTCAGCTAGCAGCCACAACACTGGCAAACATTACTTACAAGTTCCAGCAATGTTTTAAAGAAGATACGAACTTTAACACTCAGAAGATGTTTGGAGAACATTGTGAGGGTCACAGATTATGTTCCTCGATAACAACAAAAGAACGTTCTCAAATGTTTTCAAATCTCTCGATGGCAGAATGTCCTACGTAAAACGTTCCTGTGTTATATATATTTGGGGATGCCCGACGTGACATGATAACACAAGAAGGATATTCTCAGTGCAATATTAGGAAAAGGTTTTTAGTGCATAATGGTCAAACATTGTCTTTAGAGAGCATGATCCTACCTTTAAATACTGGGAGCTAAAAATAAGCCTCCCACTGAGAACATCACCGGGACTTTGCAGAACTTTCTCAGTACGTTTTTAGAACAATAACATTCTAGCTGGGTCAAATCCGAATCATAGCACATCATGTGTAAACTACAGCACACTGGCGTAATGTAAATATGTGCATAGTATATAGCTGTCTGCACACACACACACACACACACACACACACACACACACACAACTGCAGCTCATGCACCATGTAGACGACACTGGTTTCATCGTCTCTTTACTCCTCATTATTAATTTACTTTCTCTACTGTTCAGACTTGTTTTTCTTATCATGTCTTGCTGTTATTGTACAGCCTTGCGGATGCACATGTGATGAATAAAAACTCTTGACTTGATAAGTCAAAAGGATTCTAGAGGAAGACCAGAAACATATCCAGAATGTTGTATGTGTGCCAGGCTTTTAGCTACAACCTGGAAACATGTCTCGCTACACTGGCCAGTACGCTTTAGGATTAGATTGTAGGATTTTACTTTTAAGGCCCTTCAAGGCCTCTCTGGTGGTAGTAGTTGTACTCGTATATCAGTTAATTCTTTTTATGTAAATCTACCAGAAGGTTATGTCTGCGATAGAAATGTCAACCTTCTTCTCCTGTAATTCACAGGATATAAAGCAGCTAATGTGCGAAAATGGATTAATGGGGCAAAAAAGGCCGGTCCATATCGACAGCTTTTAAAGCCTGTCATCCTACTGTAGCACTGAACTGACATGTCATCTACATTGACTCCAAAGCACCCTGGGACCCTATTTTTTCTGTTTTTTTTTACCTCTGATATGCTTATTGAAGGGCTGCGAGGTGGCTCGGTGGTTAGCATCGCCAGTTCACGTCCCGGTGAGGGCACCTGGGGTCAAAATTACTACATTTAAAATGTTTTAGAGAAAATGTGTTTTCAAGCTGCAAGGTGGCTTGGTGGTTAGCCGGGATCTTTCTGCGTGGAGTCCCCATGTTCTCCCCGTGCAGCGTGGGTTCTCTCCGGGTTCTCTGGCTTCCTCCCACAGTCCAGAAACATGCTGAGATTAATTGGTGATTCTAAATTGTCCGTAGGTGTGAATGTGAGTGTGCTTGGTTGTCTGTCTCTCAGTGTAGCCCTGTGATAGACTGGTTACCTGTCCAGGTGGTCCCCTGCCTTCACCCTGAGTCAGCTGGGATAGACTCCAGCCCCCCATGACCCTAGTGAGGATTAAGCGGTGTATAGATGATGGATGGATGGATAGCCCACCTGTTTTATGGTCAAAATTGTCTGCAAGCTTCGGCCTTTAACAGGAAATTTGTTGAAAGAAGAAACATGTAGTGATTAGTTTAGTACCTCTAAATATATTCTAATAAAATGATAAATACATGAATGAAAGTTGAGGATATCATATTGAACTCAATGTGATTTCGAACAACCATCGACACACAGTAGATGTTTTAGAAGCATGTCGTGTAATTGAAAATGTCGCCACACGCAGGCTTACCGGGATGCATGTGCTTACAGCTCCATTATTAGGTCAGCTGCATCTGTTAAATCCTCTCACTGTCTACTCAGAAGCTGTCGTTTAAACCGCACCTGTGATTTAGTCTGAGCCCGATAGGTGTGTCCTGAAGAAATCGTCTAAACTCCAATAGAAGCCACTGTTTCGTCTTTATGAACTTAAACCCCTTGCAAGCTCTTAAGCTGTATCCAGTCTAAACCACAGCTAAGCTTGTGAAATGCTAAGTGACAGAGGGTTTACTGCTGGCTTATTGGGATAAATATAAAAAGGCCTACGATGGATGCTTATACTTACACATCCTCAGATATGAATATTACAGGACATTAACATCACTACTTGTTCAAATGTTCACAAATGCAAAAAAAAGTTCACCTTTATTTTGAAGTGGGACATAAACATCTTTATCTGCTTTTAGTCTGTGTGTATGATTCAGAAGCTTTATTATAATCAGCAAGTAATAAAAAGTATTGCAAACCCTTCGTCTAATCTCACAAGCTCTTGACAGAAGCTTAGAAACAGCCTTCCTTAAAGCCACCTTGCAGACTATATACTGGAAAAAATTGATGCAGCTCTTTGCGGTTCTTACTTTTCGCCAGCAGATGGCAGTGCTGCATCAGTCTATTCTCTCACAGCGGTCTGCCAGAAAAGCAGATATGTAATAATTCACTCTTAAGAGATCATGCATCTGTCTCTCTTTTATTCTCCTCCTCTATTTACATATTTTCTTCAAAAAATGAAATCATCTCTCATAGCTGAGATGCTCAACTTTAAAAAAAAAAAATCATCAAAAGATCGCAAACAAAGCTTCAGATGGAAGAAGCCATAACGAACCTTGGTGTATGATATGGTATGTCAAGTTCATGTGGATGCATAATGGACCATTTGTCAGTGTTTTTAATAATTCAGGCCATAAATCTATTCCAGCTTGGTACAGACAGAAGAAAAGAACTTCTGCTATTAATACAGCGAACACCTTCAGTCATGTGCATTCTTACATAACCATTTGGGGATCATGTCATAAACTCAACGATGATACAGTCGGAGCAGAAATCAGACAGCCAAAGTAGTCTGCTCTAACAGAAGAGTTCATGGGCGTCTTCCTTTAAATAGAACCCGTTCCTCACCCACTCATCAACCTCCGGCATAATCACGCGGCACCTCAGAAATAGAATTGCAAGGTGGGAGATCAAACTATCACCTCTTAATTGTACCCTGAGTCTTAAAGATGCTGAGAGCCCATTAGCGCACAAAGAAGTGTGCTGTGTACCGCTCCTGAAACATGCATCGGGATGATGCAGCTGGGAGATGAGTCAGAAGTTAGACAAGTGGAAGAAGCACCACATTGGCATCCACCTGTGCTGGGACTCATGTAAAGAGATGCAGGCTGCAAGGTGTGGTGGTGGTGATGAGGAAGAAAGTTGTCTCTTCTAAAGCTTTGGAAATAGAACAGAAGGGAAGAGTTGAAGCCGCACTAAACTTGCTGTTTACATCCCTCTCTGTGTTGTTTGGTTTAAAACAGAGATGGCTGCATTGCTTTTGAACACAGATGCTGATATTTTTCATTTGGTTGTGAGCTGAGCTGTGAGTGTAACATGTTAACCACGAAATGAATATTGACTGTGTCATGTTTAGTCCCAGAAGGTGAACAAATTAAGAGTCCCTCTCTCCCAGAAGGGTTAGTGGATGTTGTTTTTCTCCAGTGGTGAGGCCTTCCGAGGGCGCCGGGAGACGAGGAGGAGAATGTGAAATTCCCAAATCTGTTGGAGCGCTCCATCAAAGTGCCAATGCATTGATTTTGACCACAGATCTTTTCCGCCCAGCTGCCTCTGCATGCCCTACCCCAAACATTGCTCTCAAGACCAGGGTCTTGCGGGAGCCTTAGTGCCCCTGAATCCTGTTCAAGTCCTCCGGGACGCTTGGAGGAGAGGGAGGGA